AAAGTTTAGGTATTAGATATGTAAATAGATAAAATTGAGTGTAATATATGCAAATGCCCCAATATCTTCTTTTCCACCTTCTCTTATATTGGTTTCTTTTTATGTATTTGAAGAAGCTCTGCAGGACCAAAGAGTGGCCCTAGCCGCAGCTTTGGATTCCACAGTAGGTGAATCGTCTCCCTCTGCGGGCAATCTTCCCAATGGAAAGGCTGAAGACATTTATGAACCTGTTCCCCTTGGCATCAATATTCAAACCATTGATGGCGCATCTGGATCTGGAGAGAACAATTCCTGCACGCAGTTGGATTTCCACGTGCATACAGTTGAAACAGTGAAGAATATGGAAGAACTCCAATTCATCCCCAGCTTTGCTAATGCATCACCATTACACAAGAACCAAGAAGATGATAACGAAGAGAAGTGTCTTTCTGCACTTAGGAACTCATCTGACGAAGATTTCTCAGTTTCCTTGCATTTGGGGGATCGTGAACCTCGAAGACCGAGATCAGATCCAACCTCTGCTATGGATTCAGCTAGTTGTGGGTATGCGGCTGTTTGTGGGCATCAGCATTGACATTTTGAAGAGGGTACCCTATATACACCCTATATAAACTTACGAATATCCCCTCAAAATTCCGTCATATTATGAATATCAGATTTTTTTTCTGAAAAGATATTGAGGACTTAACATAGCTAAACTAATATCTATTTCTCCATGTTACAAGAGTCGTGCTTTAATGATATAACTAACGAAGGGCATGATCTACAGGAGGCTTTGATTTCTGCATGCTGCTTCGGTTTTCAAAACTTGTAATATTCAGGTTGTAACGGAGATAACTTAATGTTTGCTGCAGATCAGCATTCTTGTTTAATGGAAATAGGAAATTATCAAGGGTTAATGCTGTTTATAGCTCTCATTGGTTTGATTTTTTCTATCATTGTCAAGTGAGATTCAGGATTAAAGAGTCTCCCTTAAGCTTTTGTATGGTTGAATGGGCTCTTGGTTTATATGTTGTTTATGTATTAATAAAATGGGAAATTTACATACATACTGCAAAATTCTTATGCATATACATTTCTAACACAAATTTTGATATTAACATTTATAACATCTTTGTATTAAAATCTATGCATGAAAAAGTTTATTTTACTTTTAAACAGTTAATTATAGTGGTATTTTGATGTAATGTCAAAGATTTGATTGTTATACATGTAAATATAAATGTTT